CTCAGTGAAAACCATGAATACTGGGTTGTGGCAGACTGCAGTCAAAGGTGCAAAACAAAACCAAAAACCTCCTAAGGACTTATTTACCACATGAAAGGGGTCAAGGGTCAAACACAAATAATAAAGTCACAACAAACTAAAAATTTCATTCAACAATGATGATGTCATGAAGACGGAAATCAGAGTTGCGTGTCTAGCAACCAAGATTTCATTCACCCAAAGGTAAATGTCTTGAAAAAATAACACAGGACTGTTTTGTTCTGGATCATGTTAAGTTCCCCGGGGCCTACTTACTTCATAATTAAATTTTAGGAGGTGAACAAGTTGATCCCACAAATCTCTTTCACCTCTAAAGACTTTTGGGATTAAAAAAAATGAAAACTTGTAGGAAGCAGACCAAAGTTTGATTTCGCTGCAAGGTGGCTGACAGCAACTGGAAAATGAAAAGGGATCAATCACCTATGCAGTGACTCATTTTCAACCCTTGTAACAATTACACCACTAGGGAATTTTGTCTCTTGCTGACTACGGCTAGTGCTGGACTCACGACAGATACCTCATTGTGGGGCTGGAACTAGGTTCAAGGTTATTGCATCCACTGTTTCTGAGCAACATGTCATTTTTAATCTATGCAGTGTTTAAAGGGTCTATTTTGAAATTTTGTTTCTACTTTCCCTAGGAAGAGATGCCTAGTATTTTGACATTGATTGACATTGGACACTTTTGTTAATATAGCCTCAACATTTCATAGAATGAGAAAAATCATTTAGAGGGGCCTAGAAAGCCACCTAGTGTGAGGAAAAAGCAAAGTGCGAGCCATGACCAATTTCTTAACACAGAGGAACAAAGATCTACATAGGACCTTCACAACTACTGAAAGTCTTCTTCCTGGCTACATGTTTTTTCAAAGTAGTCATAATGAAATGGTCAGTGAGTGCATAAATAACAAGATGCTATCACAGAGTGCTAGGTAACTAAGCTAAAACTAAAGTAAACAAACTCCAGGGGCCACCACATATGCAAGTCAGTCAGGCCCCATAAATCACCAGGGCTGAGTATCAGGATTTCAAAGGCACACTCTAAGCTTTCTCCCAGGCCTGTTGATTCAAGCTCCAATTGCACTGGGTTACCTATATGGCAGCATATAAAGATGACCTTTTCTGTTTAAAAATAGTTCCAGTACTCTGCCCAACTGAAGCTAGGCCGCCGTATCTACCATGTGTGCACACTATGCTATGTACTTTGTGTGAGTTTTCATTTAATTTCACAACAATTCTGCGAGGTAAATTATATTAGTCCTGATTTCCAGTGAACAAGGAGGCTCAGACAGGTTGAAATAATTTAATCAGCCAAGGTCATAACTGTAGTGTGGGCTAGATTCATATCCAGAAGAAGGATTACTAAACTTCAGAGACTTCTTGAGATTTTTTTTCTTTAAGGTTTTTGCCATAGGGTATGTGTACTCACCAGAGGGAGAAAGACAGAGATAGGGAAGATGAGAAATCATCCCCAAAGAAGGGATGACCACGCCACAACCCCTTCTCCTCTAGAGATTTTGGACATACACCTACACATGCTCAGCGTGATATTCATGCCACTGGGTCCAGGACTCAAACTGTGGTTGACCATGTGGGAGTCCAGTGTCTTAACCACTACACCACCTGGTTGCCCCATGAGCTTGGAAGATTTAAAAATGGCATCAAGATAAAGCTTCATTCTGTTCTCAGATGCTATTCTGTTGTCCCTTACTCTTCTAGTATCTAATAACAACTCACCATATACGATAGTGTATCAGCTTGTATTTATTTTGATCGAGTTTCTTTTCCCCCTATTCTAGCTGCATTTGCTCTCTACACAGCCCATCTCTATCTTTCCTCATTCCCAGAAAACAAGCTCCTTAGGGGATGGCCCAGCAGCTGGATTTGGCAACCCAGCAGTGCTGCTACTGGGCCATGACTCAAGGAGGCAACAGGTGAAAGAGATGACGCCAACTACTGATGCTAAAATAAAAGACCCGAGTCTCATGAAATACACTGTGTCTGCAATCTCCCCTTTCCATGCAGCTCTTCCCCTCTTCCCCAGTGACCACAGCTGACTGTCCTCCCTTCAACATTCACAGCCTTTGGCTGACCTATCAGTGACTTCTTTTTCTTTCGAGGCTGTCCCAAAGGCTCATTCCAATCAGATTTCACCATAGGAACCCTGAAGTGGAAAGGAGGCAGGAACACCACCTGGCCAGTTTGCCCCTGGCCAAGGACAGCCCTGACTCTAGGCTAACCCTTCCAAGCACTCCTCCTTCTCCGTCCCTTACACTTCTTCATCTTGTACTGTCTAACATGTCCTCTGTCCTTCTCTCTACCTTTCTTTCCTTGAATATTCATCCCTCACACTATCCACAAGTCTGTTTTTCCCATTTTGGGCCCACTAAGAAAACTGACCCCCAAGGCAACTTCACAGCAATAGGCTAGTTTTCAAATCCAATACTTGTTTACCCCTTCCCTGAGTTCACCCTACACCTTCTCTATCTGCTGCTGCCCTGCATTCTCTGGAAGCTGAGATTCTAGGATCGATATTAGTCACTGGGTCTTCTCCTCCCACTGAGCCCAATACCCTTAGTTTATCTGTGCCAGATTAGAAACCTGCCTGCTAGGTTGACTCCCAGTCTAACATGTGATTTCACCATCACGTTCTTCCCAGGAGCAGGCGCCAGAGCAGTTTTGCTAAAATCTCAACATGACTTTGAGTACAAAAAGGCTCCCCTTTAGGAATCAGATTTTACTGAAACAGCTCTTTCACTTTCTGAATCCAGTGCTTATTAAATATATGAAAATATATTATTTGGATATATTTTTTAAAACACAGCCTGAGAACAAATGGTTTTGTTCTTTTATCTCTCACCCACTTCCCCAATGCTACCAAAAAATAATTAACTCTACACCTTTAAGAAGCATATGAATCTTGGACAAGCTTGAATCTCAGTTTTTTGTTTTCGAAAATGGGATAAACTGTTATTGACATACAATATATGGTTTCTGGGACCAAGTTAGTAATTTAAGGTTTGAAATGTGAAAAAACATACAGTATCATGCCTTACATTATTAGTCAAGGAACAATAAGATGTTCCTTGACTATCTATAGTCAAAGATTGTTACTATGTATTAAATGGATAATATTAAAATGTTTGAAAATAAGGCCAATGGGCAACAATTAATTTCTCCATTGAATTCTCCTTTTAAAAGAACAAATTCCTCTCATAGAGGAACAGATGAGTCGGTAAAAAGTGATGCAAATTCTTTATCTTTTTTTTGTCTTTTCTTCTACATTTCTGTTAGTCATTTTATGGATCATTTATGTTACATGGAATATTTAAGATTTTGGCCCATATACTATCTAGCAGAAGAAAGTAAACTAACCTTCTGATATATAGTAAAGAAAGAGCATATTTTTAGTAAAAGATTCCTATGATTCACTGAAACTCAATTATCCAAACAGTATGAAACTGGCATAAAGATATATCTGATGGAGCAGAATAAAGAGACCTAAAATAAACCAGTGCAGATATAGTCAACTGACCTTCAATAAAGATGTCAATAATATATGATGATAAGGAAAGAATACTCTCTTCAATTAATGGTGTTGGGAAAACTAGATATTCACATGCAAAAGAATGAAATTGGACCTTTATCTCTTGCTATTTAGAAAAATCAATTCTAAGTGAATTAAAGACTTAAATATAAGACCTAAAGCTATAAAATTCCTACAATATGATATGGAAAATCTTCATTAAAATATTTATAATAATGATTCCTTGAATACAACATCAAAAGCACAGGCGACAGTAGCAAAGGTTGACCATTAAGATTATACCAAACTACAAAGCCTCTGCATAGCAAAGGATACAACAAGGTAAAAAGGTAACCTAGGAAATGGGAGGAAAAAAGATATATGCATATTTATAGTAAAAGATTCCTTATGACTCATTGAAAGTCAATTATTCTTATGAAGATCTACATTATTCTAGTAATATAAAATTAAGAAAACAAAGAATAGAAAATTAAAATATATACCAAAGATAATGTTAATTGGTTTTATTCTTTTCACAGTTTATTGTTGAAACTGACTTAAAATATTCAAAAGAAAAGTGGTTAAAAAGGGAAGGGAACTAGTCAACAAATCTTCATTAAATACCTCATCTATGAAAGGTTCTCAGCAAAGCTCTCAAAAAGAAACAAAATTTCAAAACTTTGATTTCCTAAATCTGTCTTAATTTTTGAATATTCTTGTAATAGACTTATAGCTTTGGTTCGAACAATTCTTCATAATCCTTAGCCTCTTTTCCTCACCTTCTGAGTACACACCAAATATGTGTGTGCCAATGATCCCAGGTTGTTTTATACTAGAGACGAACCTGTTGTCAAGACCTTTTTAATAGGTGCTGTCTCTCTCTCTCTCTGATCTGTTGCTCAAAGAATAAAGAAATAAAAACTTAAAAAAAAGTTCTTTTCTTTGTAATTTGGAATGATTCAGTATAATACATAATTCTTTAAAAATTCATATAACCAATTTATTGATTATGATTTATTTTAACATACTTTCCCACTGTAGTGAAATACTTGCTTTTCCTTCTCAAATGGGTTTGAATTGAAAGGTCAAGTAAAATTAAGGAAGAATAACAAAAGTCAAACACTTTAATACATCCCCTGAAAATACTTTCAAAGACCTTTCTTTAAAATGTCTTTATTCATATGTAAGTGTCAAACAAAAACAACGCAACCAACACACTGCTATGTACTTGGAAATACCCTTAAAATCAGCCTGTTATTTTCTGAAATGGAGAAAACACCCAGCAGCCTGCACTTTAATAAGGCAGCTGCATTATTGCTTAGTTGCTATGACACATCCCTGTCAGGGCGGTGCTTACTACTCTCCAGACCTGATTATGACAGGCTGAGGTGTTTTCTATTATGCTGCCTATGTGTGCATAGCACATTGCTCGCAGAGGCTGCCACTAGAGGGATTACTGTGCAGCCGATCAGAGATGCTGGTGGGAACTCAAGCACACCTCTGGCAAACCTGCCCAGCTTATTCACTAATGGGAAAAAGCCAACAAACACATTCTTTCTTCCAAAGCTAGCAGGTAAAGTATTCAGATATGTCATTCATTTTTGAATTCAAACAAACTACTAATAAGAATGTTGTTGCTATGAGACCAGCAGATGGCTTAATGGCCACATCACTGGACTCCCACAGTCGACAGCAGTTCGAATCCCAGACCTGGGGGCTTAAACTCACACTGGGGGCGTGTGCGTGTGTGCCCAAGATCCCGAGAAGGAAATGGAGAAGGGATTGTGGTGTGGCCACCCCCCCTGGGGGGGGGTGATTTTTTACTTTCTGTCTCTCTGTCTCTGTCTTTCTGGCGAGGTCAAGCGCTCTATACCAAAAACCTCTTGAAAAAAAGAAAAAAAAAGAATGCTGTTGCTAAGCGAGTTACAAAGAAGAGAGGACAATTTAAGTTCATGACTATGTAGATTTTTGTCTGTTCACTATAACCTTTTAACTTAAATGAGGTGAGACTAATTTAACATACTATGCTAAAATTTCTCAGATGAGTATAGGCACTTCTCACTTAACCACCACACTCTGTTCCTATGACTATGTTGTTGAGCTTAAAGAGGATGTCTTATGAAATGTTGTGGTGCCGTAGGGATGTATTTTTCAATAAGTACCATGCAATACTGTAATTCTAACCATATAAAAAGAATACATTAGATAAGTACCAGAAAATGACAAGACACATCACAACACACTAATAGAAATCTGGCATAATTGGGGCCAGTGAATGGCACAGTAGTTACGTCGTAATCCCACATGGTCCTGAACCTGGAGGACTGAAAATCATGCCAGGCACATGTGTGTGCATTCCCCAAGATCTCGAGAGAAGAATGGAGGAGAGGGGATTATGGCATGGCCATCCCCCTGGGGGGTGATTTCTTGCTTTCTGTCTCTGTTTCTCTTTGTCTCTCTGGAGAGTACATGTACCCTATAGCAAAAATCTCTCCCCAAAAAAGAAATCTGGCATAATAATTATGTATTTTTTGTGTATTTTTAATATTACTATGAATGCACAATAAAGTACAAATTTATAAATGAAACATGTAGTCTTGCATGATTGTGAACACTTGTAGTGAATACTAACTGATGGTGGAACAAGACAAATTCTGAAAAAGGAGATTCCTGAGACTCACACCGATGGAGAAAGGGGATTTCCTGTGCTGGAGAGCTGGTCCTAAATCCACGGTTGCTTAACAGATAGGTTGTTAAGTGAGGAGTGATTCTCTATATAAGCAGAGTTAAGATTCATAAGTGGGAAGTGCTTAAGATTCTTGCCAATGAAAGGCACCTTTCGTGAAAGGTATAAGCTATGATGCTCAGACTAAGTCTGTCAATAGAAGGTGAGAAACAAGTTATTTACACGAAACCAACATGCCCTGTACTAATTAATTTATGTGACCAACTACAAATGGTTATATGGACAGTCACTGTGTTGGGGCTAAAATCAGAACAGAAATTCTCTTCAGAAAAATAAAACAAAGATACAAAATACTGTATTAAGAGTTAGAATTACAAATAAAATCTTGTGGATGGTTAAAGAAGAAAGACATTGTATTAGATTAAGGGAGTGGGGTGAGAATGGGGTGGGAGATTTAAGAAAACATAGGCCACAAAAGGCTTCACAGATGGGCCATCTCCATAGCTTAGTAGTTAAGGGAATCAGATCCCAGATGGCTGAATGGTTCAAATTGAAGCCCTGGTAGCTTGAAAATCATGCTGGGTGCAGGTGTGTGAGTGCCCAAAACGCCAGGAGGATGGAGAAATGAAGAAGGGATGTTGGTGTGACCAAGCCCATTGGGGGAATGCTTTCTCTCTATGTCTCTGGTGAGTGCACACATCTTCTGGCAACTTAAAAAGAATTTTTAGAAGTAGTATTCCAGGTAGGCTTTAAGGATGCTTAAGATTTACTTTTTCCAAATACTTGTTTCACATAGTTTTTGACTAACAGAAAAGTTTGAAAACAGTACAAAGTTCCCAAATACTTCACCTACTTTCTCCTATCGTTAACATCTTACGTTAGTGTGGCATATTTGTCACAATTATTGAACAAATATTGATATATCACTAACGAAAGTGCACACTTTGATTCATATTTCTTTCTTTCTTTCTTTCTTTCTTTTTTTTTTAACCTAAGGTTCTTTTCTATTTCAGTATACCATCCAAGATATTTAGTTGGAAGGTCTCCCAATACTCCCCTTGGCTCTGAGTTTCTCAGATTTTCCTTGTTTTTCCCAATCCTAACAATTTTTAGTACGATTCAGGTGTTTTGCAGAATGTTCCTCATCTGGGATCTGTCTCATCTTCTTATGGTTAGACTGGGGTTATATGTCATCAGTAGAAAAAGCCTAAACTTAAATGACATTTTCATTTGATTTGATCAAGAGCATACACTATCAACATGACTTACTGTCAATATGACCTTGAGAATCTGGCTGAGGTTTCTCTATTGTCAAGTTGCTCATCTTCCCCCTTTCATACTGTATTATTGGGTTGTCAGAGAAGTTATGATGCACAGAAAAACAGAAAAAAAGGATGTCATGACTTCTCCAACAACCCAGTATTTAGAAGGAAGTCAACACACGTGCCCCATATTTAAGAAGACGGGAGTTTCATTGTCCCTCCTTGAAGGTGGAATAGCTGTGTGAGTTTTTCAGATTTCTGATACACACCAATTATCTGTTTTCTCTTATTTAATAATTGGACTGTAGAAAAATCATGATGCATTTTTTTCTATGCAAAAATGCATCATCACTTTTGTGACAATCCAATATTTACTCAGTTATTTATATCAATATGGACTCAGTACTCAAAAGTAATTTATACTTTGGATTATAATCCAAACATATATTTTCTTGCTCAAATTGTCCCAGTTGTAGCTACCGGGACCCCATCCATGTGCTCTTGCATCCCTTTGATACGTCTTTACAAGTGTGGGGATGTTGGTTTAAGCATGTCCTTACTCTCTGGCAGCAGATGTTCCAGGCTTATCTTGTATATTTCCTGCTTGGGTCTCTAGAAAAAGCTATTCTCCAAGGAGTTCTGTTTTCTTCTATTGGAGAAGGGTATGAAAAGCCAAAATGTGGGTGCTAGGTGTGCTTGTTGCTATTATGGGTCCTTGCTTCCAGGCCCTCTTACCTGACAGAACACAAAAATATCTGTGTGTATACTATTATAGATGGCTAAGGTGTGAAGAGGTAGGCTGGAGGGCTATAATCCTGATACATATTTCTTAGTAGTTAATATTAATTAGAGATTTTGTGCCTGGATTACTTTCACTATCATTCAGAGAAATAACAGAGATATACCCACTTATGAAAAACCTGGTTAGGGAACCAGCAGTTAGTGTAATGGCTATGTCGCTGGACTCCCATGTAGTTGACCGCAGTTCGCATCCCAGACCTGGTGGCTTAAAACTCACGCCGGGCACCTGTGCGTGCGTGCCCAAGATCCCGAGGGGAGAATGGAGGAGAAGGGATTGCGGTGTGACCATCCCCTCTGGGGGGTGATTTCTCGCTTCTGTCTCTATGTCTCTCTCTGTCTGGCGTGTGCACGTGTCCTACAGCGAAAAACTCTCCAAAAAAAAAAAAAAAACCTCGTTAGATTATCTTTCACAGCTTTATATATTTTTGCTCAGAGAGTTTTTGATACTCTGAAAAAATTTCAGGCAGGTTTGATGGACTGGTTTGAGGTTACACAGTAAAACAAAAGGCAAATTTTTTAAAGGATAAAAATTTAAAAATACCAAAAACAATCCCCAAACTACCTTTGTAAAAGTCATTGTTGAAGATAAATGCAAATAAAACACTGCAATAATTTGGTTTATAGGAACATTAGTAGGACACCATCACAAGTTCATTGTAAAGAGAGGAATCAGGATGCCAACCTACACCATGTCTAACCCTCATCCCCTAAAATAAGACTAATGGTATTCCTTTAGCGATGGAAAGATCAATTACTTAATATATTGAATACCTACTACGTTCCTGACGGTTATACAACTTTTTTAATGTATTAAATTATCAGAGCAATTATTCAACAGATGAGCAAACTGCAGCATAGAAGATAAAGTGTTCCAATTTCTCTCTAGTAAAAGGCAGAGAATGAATACAACCTAGGAGGTTGCTCTAAAGCCATACACCATTCTGCTAAAGGAGTGAGTATCTAATGAATGGGAAATTTCTGCCCAAGAAATTGGTAAATGTCTCCTCTAGTGGAGAAATTCCACTGAAGGCAGAGAAGGAAGACTGTCGGCTATTTAAAACAAACCTTTCTAACCAGAGAAGACGCTCTAAATTGTTCATGCTACTGATTTCAGACTAGTATGTTCAAAAGTATGTCCAATGTCTCTAAGTGGTTAAGCAGAATGCTTTAAGGTGGTATGACTGAATGTTTTCTCGTGTGTGTGTGTGTGTGTGTGTGTGTGTAGTGTGTATGTATGTGAAATTTAATGTATATTAGAAAAAAATACCTAGAACATGAAACCCAGGAGTTCAAGTATATCATTGCTTAAGAAGAGGTGCTCAGATTGATATTTATGGTTAAAAATAAATTACTTTAAATTTAAGCTCTCAACGTACAGGGGCAAATATGAATTTACACAGAAATGACAAAGAGCAACCCTCATGTACACTAGTTTTTTACAGAATGAAAAGATAATGTTTTTCTTCTAAGAAATATATTTTTACGTGGCAAAGAGTACAGGACATAGGTTTTTCTTTAGTCTCTCTTTCTGCATATGTCCTAAATATTTGAGCACATGTAATTTACTGAGGACCCAATATGTGCCAAGCACCAAACTGCGTCTTGTATACACTACATAGCTAATGCTCTCAACTACCTTTCAATTTTATTTCTTCCTTTTACTATTCCCATTTATAAATCAGATTGAGCTGCACGGCGATGAGGCATGTTCCCCAAAATATCAGGTAGGAAACAGCAGAGCTGGAATTTGAGACCAAGTTTGCCTGACGAAGAACATCGATGTTCTTTCCACTCTACAAAGCTGCTGTAAGCATCACTGGGGTACACTCTTGCCAAGAAGTAAATATCATTCATCCTCATCCCATCCAAGTACAGCAAAACAACAGCAAATGCCCCGAACCATAATAATAGAGAAAAACACTTCATTAAAAATATTCTCTAAAAGCAGAGGATAATAAACCTATTATCACTACAGCTAGTAATCCAATTTAACTAATTTCCTAATGAACATAGCAGAATTGTTTGTTGTTTAAGCAAAGACCCAGCTTTGCCCCCATCCCTGTGGGAGCAGATAAAATACTTTTATAAAAAAAATGCCTACGTCTAGAGGTAATATTAAGATAAAGGGCAATCCATCTCTCTGTTTGCTAGAAAGATCTCAGACGAACAGTGCCAATTAAACTATCACAAACAGCCAGGTCCAGAGCTACACCCCTGCCAGAGCTACTGCTGTGCCAGAGCTATGAAAATAAACCCAGCAACCTGCAGTTTTAAAAAAGAGCTGATGAGGGCCAGCAGATGGCATAGTGGTTATGTCGCTGGACTCCCACATGGCCAACCGCGATGAAAGTCCTGGATCTGGTGGCTTGAAAAACACGCCAGATGTGTGTGCATGTGGAAGCAAGATCCTGGGAGGAGAATGGAGGAGAAGAGACTGCAGTGTAGTCATGCCCCTGGGAGATTTCTCACTTTCTCTCTCACTTCTCTGTCTCTCTCTCTCTCTCTTTAGCAAGGTCACGTGCCCTAAGGCAAAAATTCTTAAAAAAAAAAAAAAAAAAAGAAAGAAAAAGGGCTGGTCTTGCTTGCTGAAAAAGATAAAATCAAATCTACCTCTATTTTATGAATCACTAAAACATTATGATATTAAAACCATTTCATGGGGCCAGAAGGTGGCATGGTGGTTAAAGAGATGGACTCCCACATGGTGGACCATTCAAGTCTTAGACCCAGTGGCTTGCTTTCTCACTTTCTCTCTCTCACTATCTCTGGTTAAATTAAAACATGATATAATAATGGGACCAGCAGTTAGCGTAATGGCTATGTCACTGGACTCCCACGTAGTTGACCGCAGTTCACGTCCCGGACCCAGTGGCTTAAAACTCACACCGGGCGCATGTGCATGCATGCCCAAGATCTCGAGAGGAGAATGGAGGAGAAGGAACTGCAGCGTGGCCATCCTCTCTGGGGGGTGATTTCTCACTTTCTATCTCTCTGTCTCTGTCTGTCTGGCAAGCGCACACGCCCTATAGCAAAAACCTCTAAAAAAAAAGATATAACAATAAATAAAATTAAATAATTCACTAAGAAGTATTTCGCACCTGCCATGTATCAATATTTGCATCTTAATTAATAGCTACAAGTAATTTATGTTATGATCACAGAAATCTTAAACTAAACAAAAGCATTATTTATTATACTTACAATTTGGGGGAAAAGTGCTTAAATCTATCCATTACCCAGAACACTGGGAAAAGCCCTGCTTTATTTCAGTCAAGTCTTACATTTCAAAAATAATTTTGAAATTATTTTTACAAAAGAAAGACTTCACCATGCTCTCTGACAGAAGTGACCACTATCCCATAAATTCAGTCAACATGTCACAACCTGAACTAATTTCCTAGTATTGATTTTTTTAACTGAATCATAAAAATGAGAAATTTTTGAGTATTAAATGCTGGAGATATTTAACATTAGACCCTAACATAGAAACTGAGTTGATGACAATAGAGACAAATTAAGATTCGTTTTGATCTTTAGTGTCTTTACTACTCAGTGAGACTAAAAATATTAAAAAAATAAAATAAAATAAAATCCATTAAAAATGATTTCCTTTTCTCTTATAACTTAAAAGCAAAGGATAGTTTTCTTTCCGTCCTTTAAAAAAACAAAAGGTTTTTGCCATGGGGCATGCATGCTTGTTAAAGAGAGACAGAGAGAGAGGAAGTAAGAAATCACCCCTAGAGGAGATGACCATGCTACATCCAATCCCTTCTCCTCCATTGTCCTTCTGGGATTTTGGGCACACACACACATGTGCCCAGCATGATTTTAAAGCAGCTAGGTCCAGGACTATGTGGGAGTCCAACATCTTAACCACCAAACCACCTGCTGGCTCCTCAAAGGACATTTTTCTAACAGTGATGATTAAAAGCAAGGATTTCAAATCCTTCACATTAACTTTAAGGCACTATAACACTATATATAAGCTGAATAAATCTTTCCTAAAGCTACCTTTATTAAATGTATGAAAAACAGATATTGGTCTAGCCACAATGGCATAGGCATTGAGGCACTAGTGCAATTCTAAGACCATCTGAGAGACCTGGGGTTCAAATCCCAGGTTGAAGTGAACGTGTGGGGCTTGACCACAGTTTGCTTCCAAGACCCTGGCTGCCTGGAAGGCTGGGGGAGGATCATGAAATGATCCTGTTGCAAGGGGAAGGAGATCCCAAATAGTAAGCATGATAAATAATGCTTTTGTTGGGTTTAAGATTTCTGTGATCATCATGACTCTCTTTTCCATGAAGGAAATAAACTTAAAAAAATAAAAATCAGGTATCAAACTCAATATATTAAAAAGCTAAGTTTCTACAATTATAAAATATATTTTCTTTCAAAATTTAATTTTTATTTAGGTATGTTGAGTAAGCATTAACAATGATCTTATATAGAAAACCATCATTGCTACTTTCTCTCCATAAAACTAAAATGCTTTTGCCAACAAGCTTCTTTATTAGCCAAAGTTTAACATTTCTTCTCTGAATCAACTTGTACTTGTGTAATTATGAAATATCTTAAGATTTAGCCACATTTATGGGCATCTTATATTCATTCGAGCACCCATGCTCAGGAAAAAAATACTTGTCAGCAGTGCTAGCACATGTTATGCACTGACTACTACAAAACAGCAGGGGGAGCAGCCTGAGAAAGCACTAGGAAGAAGCATCCCAGAAAAGCCATCTAACGCATAGGCAACAGAAACATGCGAGGGATATTTGCTAAAAACCAAACAGACAAAATAAATTCTGTAAAGATATCATCACCACATTAGCAAAGCTGGCCTAAATACATTTGGAATGAACTATACAAAAACCTTATGTCTCTTAGAAGGATGCTCGAATCCCAACTTTTCAAGACAGCATGTCAGCTTGAAAGAACAGGTTTCAGCCGTGCCAAGCCTCAGAAATGCCCAAGATAAGAGAGTTAAACATAACACATTTTTAGAGTGGTGTGTTTTGGGGGAAACTCAGAATGAGTGTTTTCTTCTTACACATCAGCACACTTAACATCAAAGGCCTGATGAAATGTGCATTATGAGGTCACAAGAGTATAGCTACAGGATTCCGTAGCATAATCCTGAAAGTTCTCAGGCCCAGACCCTTGTCTTGCCCTCCTCGCCAATTCCTTTCATACCTATTTTCGCTGACAGAAAAGTAACCAAAACCATCACAAAACTACCTTGCATTAAACCACTATGAAACTATTTTACTAAAAAGGTACTTTAGCTTTGCGAAATTTGTACAAATGAATGGAAATGTACCCACCAGCTCTACATTAAGTTTTAAATGTTCTAAAAATTAATGAGAGCTGTTTTTAGTATTGTCATGAAACAGGAAAAGTCTTTGGCTTCTCTGTCTGAGATTCTGTAACTAAATTTGAAAATAGACTAAACTAATTAGAACTTCAAAAATGTGTATGTCTACTTAAAGACCGTAAATATAATTTAAGCACTTCTTATATTGTAGAAATTTGCACTGAAGACAGTTATCTAAGAATTATACTATAAAAAGTCACAAAACTGGAGGCCGGACGGTATTGTAGCAGGAAAACTCAAAACTCTAAGAAGGATCCAGAGACCTCCTTAAGTGTAGCTGGCATACATTTGCCCATGATTGGGGCTGGTTGAGGCTGGGGAGTGAAATGCCACGTCAAAACCCTGTAGGGGAGTACTGTCTCTCTCTCTCTCTCTCTCTCAGAAGAAATAAATAAACTTAAAAATAATCCATGGGTGCCAGGAGGTAAGATAGTGGTTAAGGTGCTGGACTCCCTCATGGCCACCTGCAGTTTGAGCCCCAGATGTGGCAGCTTGAAAATCATGCCAGGAGTGTGTGCATGTGTGCCCAAAATACTAGGTGGAGAATGGAGGAGAAGGGATTGTGGTATGGCCATCCCCCCTCAGGGGTGATTCCTCACTTTCTCTCTCAATGTCACTCTCTCTCTCCAGCGAGCATACGTGCACATCCTATGACAAACCCCCCCAAAAATAAAGTAAAATAATCATGAAACTTGAAATTTCTAGCATAAATTACAATAGAACGGTAAAACAAATTTGAGCTAAGTAGGCAACCAATGAAGTTTGACCTAAGCCTCAAATAACTGCCAACACAGGAGGTATATGGTCAGATACTGTATTAGCTAGCTGTTTTGTATATTCTTTTAAATTAAACTTCCAAAATAACGATTATTATACCCATGTTATGCTTAGGAGCTAAAGCTAAAAATGTTAAAGTCATTACTTGACTGCAACTCAGCTAGTGGGGAACAAAAGCATGACTAGTTAACAAGCAGGGTTAGAAAATATACATTGTTTTTCATAACATGATTCATAACAGCAGTAGGCATATGCTGAATATCTCCAGTGTCCTAAATGTTGAATACAATTTTTCAGTGGTCCCAAGCTCCTAATTCTCTTGTCTGGTAGATTCTGTGTAATAAAAGGCAGACCAGAATCTGAAGGCATCTCGCCATTATGTGAGATGCCTTCCAGGTCTGTCTGCCTCCAAAGCTTTGAAACCTCACTAAAATCCCTTTCAATTGCAGCAAAAGGAAATCTATACAAATCTCAGACAGATTAATGTGCTTATGGGAGTAAATGCTGTAGATCTGATCACTCTCATTCAATACCATCTGGAATCTCGTACCCTTCCTTAGTACAAGCACCCCACAACCTAGTTTTGGCCAAGGAGTCAGTAATTTCCCTGCCTTGATACCCTACCATCAACAAGCAATATGCACTTACAATATCAATACAGGAAATGTAGCTAATTGCTTATAAAGCATTATTTAAAAACTGCTAATTGGTTTAGATTCCCTTTTATTATGATTTTTTAAATATATATGAATAATTTGTTAACCCCATTTATCAAATGGGTTTGAGGAATTTAAAAAAAAAATCTGGTCGATTTGAACAGTAGGTTAAAAAAGAAAAAAAAAAAAAAGGACAGTAATGGAACTAATAAAAGCTATTAGCCAAAAGGCATGCTTCAGACTTACTCATATTCTAGAGATACAGAATGAATAACTTGGAGAAGATGAGATATAAGCTGGACACATTTCCAGTTCAGAGGAAAGGTGTAGCACCCTTCTGAAGGGAGGCTTCATATCAGTTGTTCCAATTCTTGTATAGCTTATGTCAATATGGCTTATTCATGCCCTTGTTACCAACCAGAGGGTAACTACACAACCTCTAAGAACTTTCTCCTTTCAGTGCCAATCCTTTTTCATCTACAAAAACGCATGGAAGCTTTAAACATATTTAGAAATGAACAAGTTAACAAAGAAATGAATGTTATAGACATTAAAACTTAAAGAACTAGCTTAAGCTAAGTTTAATTTTAAAAACAAGTGTCATGTCAATCATCATCCAACCACAAGACATAGACATAGCTACAATGACTCTATTTTGAAAAAGTCTTTTCTCACTGTACCTAGATCTCAGGTCAACAAAATATCCCTACCTCTCATATTAAACCTGTCAGTTAACTCCTACTCCAAGTCTAACTGGGGGCCTTCACAAAAAAACAAACAAACAAAAAAAAACCTTATTTGGGGCCTTTAAAAGAAAGGAGTCATTTTGAGCAATTATTATGACCTAAACTTTTTTTTTAATCTTAGCATAGATGGTTACTTAAAAGCTGAAGTCATTTATAATACATTATTAGATTGCACATTACTTTTAAGATTCAAATATAGGTCTCATTATGAGTTTTAAGAAAAATAACTATTGCTCTGGTTCAAATCACTAAAAAAGTACCCCCTAATCACTTTGAAAACATAAACACATGCTTTCACATGATGGGGAGGTGACTTCTTCCTTTTATTACACAGAATAAGCTGGACAAGAGAATGAAGAACTTGGGCCCACCGAAGAATAGTATTTTCCATTTAGGGCACTGGGGATATTCAGCATATATCTATCTACTGATACTATGAATCAAATTATTAAAAAATGACTTATATTTTCTAAAACTACTTGGCAACGAAATAAGAACAATGCCTCCGCAGGTTGTAAGAGCCCCAGTAAATAGCAATAACTGGTTACTCTGATGAGGAGCCATGCTACATTTAGAAATGAGCCCCACATGACAAAGAGCGCAGATATGCATGCACACGGTATAGGTGAGTACCCTCAGGCAGTGTCCCGGAGCCCCTTTTATTTATTTGAAGGCAACTTTCACTGAACAACCTTATCTATGTACACAATTAACACATAAGACACTCAGTGGCTGATAGACTGTGGCATTTTGCAAAAACTGCATGAGAAAAAAAATGGGATTAAAAACTACAGTAAGCTAAAACAGACTCCTTGCAAGATATGTGCACGCAGATAAATTGTAAAATGATAAAACCTTCCTGATTTTGTAATAGGTGGCCCAAAATACTTACATTTTTAAAGATACAACAATTACTAATTGCCACACGTTACCAGTACTCACTGGCTATATCCCTCAGACATCTGCATCCAACATGCACAAGCCTCTTTTTCTGCCCCTAGCTAGTCATTAAAAACATACACGATCCCAATTATTTCCTTATATAACTAAACACCCAAAGAAAAGAAATTCCAAAACAAAAATACAGCAAAACTGAAACACTCTACCTTGCTTTCCAGGCTATTTTTAAGGCTGTCTCAGGCTGAAGGTTACTTCTCAGCCCCCCAACTCCAGTAATTGCCACAACCAGCACCCTGACACTTAACAGCACAAAGAAGCCTCTCTGTAACCAAATGACCTCAGAAAATTGGGCTTTCTCTCTCAGATTAATGCCAACAAAGGTAATGAGCACAATGCACCTTTAAACTTTGTAAATGTTTCTTGTGGATGTGGATAGCTGACTGAACATATCAATGTAAAGACTCCCTTCTCCAGGGCTCCCTGACAACCAGATAATTGAGGGTGAAGGTTCCAAGTTCAGTGAGCTCTTGGAGTTTGAGTGAGGTAGCTGGTGACCTCCAAATGATTTCACTGACATCTAGCGACTCGAACTTGCTACCGAGAATCCCGCCAGGAATACCTGTAAACATGCGATGCCAAGGGAACCTACTGGGTTTCTGCTGCAAGGGCAAAGTGTCACTGAGGAACCCTGGGCCCTGGAGGTACTCAATCAAACTCCACTGAGGACGCTTTCGCAAAATGTTTAATTTATCTGGAGTGAATGGGAGAGGAAGAATGCATGGAAACAGGGGCCAGAGGGGCCAACATGCAAGAAGCATGACTGATCTATGTATTTCCCAGGACCACGGGGACTGGTGGCTTCACCAGCGTGGGAATCAAAGCTCAGGGGCGTTGGCGCCCGCAGAGCAGGGACTTACCTTGTTGGAGGCCATCTCACTGACAGAGTGTCTGGTCTGCAGGGTCTCTAGCTGGTCCAGACACCAGTCCAGCTCCTCCAGGGTCTCGCTGGCCAGTTTCTGGTAGGCCTCCTCTGCGAAGAGACAGGGAAAGGGGCACTCAGTTCTGAAGCGCTTCACGGGGCCGCCAGTGAGTTCAAAGGGGGCCATCCTGCCATACCCCGCCATGCTCGGATGCCCGGTGCCCGCACATGGGGGCTGCTCCTTCATATTGCCCAGCCCGGCAGTGCGACGGGGACCGAGGCTCTGCTCGTGGGGCAGCTGGCCTCAGGAGGGCACGGTCTCTCCAGCTTGGCGTCTCGGGTTGGCCTCCAGGAAGGGCGCGCAAAGTGCGGCAAGCCAACTTTCACACGGGGACACAAGCGAAACACCACGATGCGACTTTTGAACAGCTCGGCTGGCCGAGTCCTAGTCGCCAAGCTCGCTCCGGAGGCTGGCGAAGGGTGGGCGCGGGTGCCTGGGCGCCTGCGGGGCAGAGGAGCGTCTGGTCCACGCCGGGT